TGCTGGGAATAAAAGCATGCGCCAATGCTCGGCTGACCTTCTGTTTTTATTCTTCAAGGTTCCTTCTGACTTGCTGGGTGAGCTATCAGCTCCCAGTATTCAGTTCATATCAACCCGTCACTGTGCTTCTGTCTTCTCCATGACATCACTGCTTTTGTAGATCTCTTGTTTAGGTGCCTAGATCACTGTGAGATCCTAAGATGGAGGGTGGCTGTAGGCTGCATCTGCCTTTCTGTTGTATGGTTGCTGTTTGGTGTGTTGTTATTTAATACAAATACATAATAGTTGCTATTTATTTAATATTAAAGGCTGACATGCTATTTGCATAATGATAGAGCTCAGACAATAATGATGGACTGCTATTTGTGGCCATTTACTTTTCAGACTCTGTATTAAGCATATTTTATGTATAGTCTCCTTTGATCCATTAAAACTTTTACATTTATTTATTATATGTGCATGTGTACATCACAGCACACATATGGGGGCCTGGCAGGAGTCAGTTCTTCTAGCAGATGGTTCACTTGGATTTAACTCGGGTCACCTGGAACCTGACTTTCCTAATACAGTCACTGGGTGATTGACAACCACTTAAACTGAGAGGTAGGAATGGTACTGGAGCATACAAGGGCTTTGTCAAAGAATAAATAGATTTATACATGTAGCATGCACTCTGTCATTGTTATTTATTTAGCCTCTCTTACAGCAGGGTTGTGGACACAGGTAAAAAAAGCCAGTGGTATTTTTTACCATCATGGTCTGAAATCATAGGGCATACATAACAACTGAGAGAATGGTAGTTTATTAATAGATGATGGAAGTGTCGAAGAATCTGAAAATTAAGTGAAGTGAGAGCTAGGTCTCTGTGAGTGTAGATAAGGCATTGTGGTGTTTAAAGGGATGAAGGAGGGAAATAGAAGAGGGAGGAGGAAGTGGAGAGAAGAAGGAAAAAGGAAAGGAAGAGAGGCCAGAAGTATGGAAAGGAAGGAAGGGGAGAGGGGAGTGAGGGAGGGAAAGGGAGAGGTAAAGGGAGAAAGAACAGGTACAGAACACTCCAAGTAACATACCCATTGTTCAAACAGAGTAGTCTGAGAAGCTTGAGCTATTTGTCCTTCCGCAGCTAAGTTCTGGCCTTACAAGCTGGGTCAGCAAGAAAGGGTGTTTGCTTCCAAACCTGACCATCTGAGTTTGATCCCTGAGACTCCCACAAGTTGTCCTCTTTCATATATGCATCATGGCAATACACACACACACACACACACACACACACACACACACACACACACACACACACAGAGGCACAAACCCCAAACAAGCAAACCAACAAACAAATAAAATGCCACAGTTTAGCTCTGTGCATAAAGGTCAAAAGAACTTCCTGGCATACTCTGGGATGCTGCATGAAGTGCAGTGGTTGGAGTAATGGTTGATATAGGAATCAGTTATGGACCCAAAGTTGGTATTTTATAGGCTGAACTCAAGGAAGACCCATGAACAGTTTTCATGGACTTCATATATGTCAGCAGTCTGTGAACAGTTTTGTGAAGATTATCCCTACAGAGATGTCTCTGGTCTGATGACCAGCCATTATGTTTCCTCACGGCAGAAATTTTAATGTAGTATGTAGATATGTCCCAGAGGTACTCCCAAAGGAATTGGCAGAAGCCATGCATTAGTCAGAAGAAACCACATCAAAGCAAAAATCAGGCCAAGTGACTGTCAGTGGAAGAAGGTGTAGACAGACAGATGTAGTTCTATATCTTGAGGCTTGGGAGTCTCACACTTTGTACCCCACCCCCAGGGACTTTAGTAGAGCTAGTAAGACACTTGCTGCAATCCTGCTGTGGTTTGGTCCTGGAGGCAAACAACCCTCCCCTAAATTCCTGGGTTTAGGAGCAAATGGAGCAGCTGCTGTTTATGATCATCATGCCCCTGTTACATAGCACACTTATGGTCTATTTAATTCTATTGCCTGTTAGCTAGAGGCATTTCTGTGGAGTGTTGACAGAATGGAAGGCCATGAGAGGCAAACCCAAGTCATTTGACTGCTCATTCCTCCTCAGTGATGAGGTGAGATTCTTAGGGACATGGGTGAGGCCTTGTGTTCTTAAACCCTAGTGAAGTCTTGGACTTCCAACAGCAGGATTCTCATGACCAAGGAATTGAAATTGGGCCAGAAATGTACGCATTCCTTGGCAGAACCCTAAGGGAAGCAGAGAGGCAGGGATGGACACAGCACCCCCACAGCTGAGTTTTCATAGTTGATGTGATTCTCCTTTTAAGAGTTGTCCTTGTTAAAATAAGAGTTGCTTTAACAAGGCTTTCAACTTCAGAAAGAATTAGTTAACAGGGACTACACAAACTTTCTGACTACTTTTCCAATTCAATTAATTAGGAAAATGCCAGAGTAATTATTAAACAAATTCATAGAAAGGTCAGTGGATTTGTATTGCAAGTTTAGAATATTTAAATATCTTCCCCTTCACAATCTCATTCTTGGGATTATTTTGTGCAAATATCAATATGATTTTCTCCTTACCAAAACTACTTACCTTTCCTATCAGTATAATTGTGGTTTCAAATTTTAGTGGAACATTCTAGAACAAGTCACCATGGAGGTGCCTAGCTGCATATGAGAGAGTTGGATGGGAAGTGTTAGCACATGGTCTTAGACATTTAGAATGGACGATGTATTCTGATTGTATAAGGGGGTGGGATGGGCGTTTGGGGGAGAACAAGAGAACTGCAGAGTTGGAGGGGAAGAGAGAAAGAGGCAGGCAAATTATGGTTAATCTTATTCCCAACATTATCTTGTCAGATTTCATAAGATCTACAGGGTCACACTATTTAGTCCTTAAAGGAAAGGAGGTAGGGAGAAAAAGAGGAAACTTGCTTGTGTAAGCACAATTCAGTGCAACTCAACCCAGCCCAAGTCAGAAGACTGCTCCCCAACCTAAAGTGTACACTGCAGCGTTAAATGAAGACAAGAGAATCAGTTAAGCCTTATGTGGTACTCTGGCTCAGTCTGGGGCATGCTCTGAATGAGTCTTTGGGGTATTCGGGCTGAGTCATGGGGTACTCTAGGACTTTCCTAGGTCCTTAAAGTCATTTCAAAAGCAGAAAGATTTGCTAGGAGCTGCTTGCCTCTGTTTTGATGTTGGCTCCCAGGCAAGAGTGGATAGATAGGGTGTTTTGGTCAGAGTTGGGGTTCAACTCTGTTACTGGTTCTCAGTCTCTGGACAGACTACTCAGCTTTCCTGGGACTTGGTTTGTTCTCAAAACCTTGATCTGCACAGGAATAGTACATGAATACACATTTGTCATTCATTGTCATGATGCTAGTTGCCACACTGACTGCACTATGGTTCCATGCAGTGCTCAGACAGTCCACTCTGTCCATTTGGGTACTGGGGAACAAGTGTAATAATACAGATGAACATTCTAGATACTGAGTGAACAAGCAGTGTACTCTTGCTTTCTAACCTTTCTGCTATAAGACACATCTGGACAAATTTGAAAATTTATCCTCAAGCTGCTTGTAGCTTTCCATAGGCACACTGCAATGATTAATTCCCCAACTACAAACCAAGCACCTTGTGCCTTACCTTTCTGACAGAAATTAAAAAGATACAGAGAAGAACAGGGCAATTTGCTCTCCATCCTAGGTCCTCCCTGATATACACACAAGGATTCATATGACCTGATTAGACAGACAGGCAGTAGCCTCAATATCAGTAATGTCCTGTAGGCAGGCTTGAATTGGGATCTGGGGGTGGGCTTGTGGTTAGTGAGGCAGGGTATGCATCTCAGCTTTTCCCCAGCACTTACTGTACAACATTAGGATTAATTCAAACTGTGTGGGATATCAGGTGGCATAAGGTGATTTCTGGCGTTCATCAGCTAGACACCATGTAGCAGCCCCCAGAGTGCTGCATTTACCATTTGCCTTCTACTGGAGCACAGAGAAAATCCTGATGTATTCGACTGGGGTACTCAGGGAAGTTACTGTCACATTTGTCTGCTATGAGACAATTCTGGACAAATAAGAAATCTTCTCCCTAAACTGATGTAGCTTCCCGTGGCAATACTATAGCGAACTAACCCCACAGATGTGAATAAAGTACCATGTGCTTTAGCTGCCACTTTAAAACTTATTTTCTTTATTGGTAATTTCATATATGCATGCAATGAAATAGGATTTTGAGGTTTTTTGGGGGGGAAGTATAAATAATTTTGAGTAAGAAAAGATAAGATATACTAAAGAAACAATGAAATAGAGATGAGAGTGAGAGAGATGACAGAAATAACGATATTGAAAAGACAGAGCCAGTGACAGATAATTGTAGAAATAGAGGTGATGGCAGAGAATGAGTTGGTGGCAGAGATGGAGTCAATGCTAGAGAAATAACAATAAGTAGACAATATCAGATGTAGAAATGATTGAGAACAATTAAATCCTAAGAGACGGGGCTGGCAGAGATGGATCTGACGAAAATATCTGACAGTAATGGTAGAGACAGATTGAGGAGCATTCACAGACAATAGAAACTACCCAGATTGGTTGTGAATTTTTTGAGTGCACAGCAGGTATGTTGAAATCAAAATCTCTCTCTCCATCTAGTGGTTCAGACATCAGGGAGTTCTGGTCAGAGTACAGAGACCTGTGAAGAATACAGGTCTTTGTTACCTAAAGATTCAACTGCGTAAGTAAACCTCTACACTTTCACAGGAAAGAAAAGCCAACTACCATCCTGTGGTTATCAAAATGCTAAGATAACAATGTCAAAGGCAAATAGAAAAGTCTAGTTGGATTAAAAATAGGACATAAATTACAATTGCCTGAGCAGGCAAAATATCAAGACAAATTTAACCAAACCAATGCTGGTATTGGTAAAGATTCAATGAGCATTTGCTTCCCATAGAACTGACAGTTTGCACATACATAAAAGCAGCCTATGATACTTTAATGTCTGAATTCCTTATCAATTCTTTGATTTCAGACATACTCTCCAATATGAAGTCTTGAACTTCTTGCTCCAAAAGTACCCACCACAGACAGCAAATACTGGCTCATGGATCATGCCCTGTTAACATTCTGAGTAAGTTCCAAACTCTATCCAAAGCCTCAACTACATGACATTTGCATCAGCATAGCTGGGGGACTCCCATTTCCCCACATTCTTACCAGTATTGGTTCTTATTTCTTTCTGTCATTAGCAATCTTCCTGAGTGTGAAGTGATCTCTGTGGTTTTGATTTGCATTATACCCAATGAGACTGAATATTTTCTCATGTGTTATTGGTCACCCATACATAGGAACTGGAGAAGTGTCTGCTCAGATCATTCACCCATGTTCCAATTTCTGTTTGTATTTTTATGATTCAGTTGTTCAGACGTTCAAACAGCAGTCATGATTGCCTTTTGGAGTCTGTGACTTGGAAGGGTTTTCTCCTGTTCTGTTTTTTTTTCTTTGTCTTTTTTGTAGTGTTATACCAAGTGGAAAATTTTGATGTCTTTTGACGCATTTTTTTTTTTGGTGTGGCACAACAGTTGTATTTTGGGTGTCATGTCTAAGACAACATTGCCTGAGCAGTAATTGTGAATATTTGTTCTGTTTTCTTCTAGTGGTTTTAGTAGGTTTAGCTCTTATATCTAGGCCTGTATATTTGAGTTCATTTTTACATGTAGTATAGGCTGTAGCCCTAGTTGACTTATTTTTTTGCCTGTAGATGTGTGTCTGTCCTATACCAGTGTTGGGCCTCAGCCCCCATGGGGTCTCTGAGTTGCTTGTCAGCCAATAACCACAGGTGTATTCTGTTTTCTAGTCCTGGCTTACAGCCCCAGCCTTGCCCCACTGGCATCAACCTCTTATTATGAAAAAATACACCCAGGGTTTCTCCACTGTGCTGTAAGTCTATATATAAGGCTGTTCCCTCCTTGCAGGAAAAACACACAATTGCATTCTCTTAGCACAAACAACCGGACATTGTGTCTTTCATTTAAATCTCCAGGCTATTGCCTGAAACACTATACTTGCTCATGGCACAGGTGCCACATACTAGTTTTTTTTATTTGTTTATTATTTATTTCACCATCTAGTTGATTATTTATTTCCTATGAGTAATGCAGTTCCATTTGATAAAACAGACTTTCAGACTTTTCTTTTCTACCATGCCTACCATTGAACTGTCAACTGAATATACTTATCCAAAGTCAGTTGACTATGTATGTGAGGGTTATTTCTAGCATGCTCCTTTTAGTCTGTGAATCTATCTGCCTATCCTTGTATTTATACTACGGTACATAATAGTGAATCAAATTAAATTGTACTTAGTTCTTATTTGAGATGCTTTTGGTTTTTTCTTTCTATTAGGCTTCTTTACATTTTCATAGACTTTTAAAATTTTTCTATTTTGTTATTTTTATGTTAGCATAAGGCTTACATTGATAGAAAATAGTGAGTTTAACTTTTAAGGACTGCATGCATTCTGTAGCTTGATTTATAGAGTATGGCCATCTTAATAGTATTTTCATTTGTGAATTTGGGTTAGTTTTTATTTATTTTTAGAAAATATTTTATTAAATTTGAATTGTTTCTTTTTGTACATGAGCATATCCACCGAAACCAGGATAGATTGTTGCGTTCCCTGGAGCTGGAGTTACAGTCAGTTGTGAGATGCCTGACAATAGGTGCTGGGAGCCAAACTCCAGTCCCCTGTGAGAGCAGCAAACTCAACAACTGAGTCATCTCTCTAGCCCCTAGAAGTAGTTTTGAATATTTTCTCAGTTGCATTTTCTTTTTCTCCGTTTACAATGACAATAACCAATTTACCTAATTTTTACATGATATGTGGGTTTTTGTCACTGGTAACATCTGTGTACTTCCCAAGTTCAAAAATTTGTCCTACTAGAATCTTCTTTGACCTTGAGTATCATAGATACCTATTAATGAAACAATAGAAAGATAGCAGTGCTGGAAAAATCCCATGTAATATCTTATTTGTAGAAATGACATGATAATTTTGCCCTTGCAGCACTGATATGATTCAAAAACAACAACAACAACTAGTGGCTAACAAGTATTTACTATGTATAAGGAACTAAATTTAAAGTACTATGTTAGCTATTGTTCATTATTAATCAATTAGAGAAACACGATTAATATTCCATTTAATAATAAAGTTTTCAGAGAGACTGACAAACTTTGCCTGAGTCATATGGCTTAGATCTATGGCTATAGAAATGATCAGGTAGATGGTTGATGATGTTTCTAAGAAGACACAATACCACCTAAAAAAAACCTTCCATAATGGCAAAGTCTACTATTTTCTATTAAAAACCATGAGGATATCTTACCAGTGTTCACAGATCTATCTGTAAATATATTTTTATAATGTCGTTTTATGTTTATGGGTATTTGACTGCATGTATGTGTATGCCTGTCACTATAGAGGCCAGAAGAGTGCATCAGATCTCCTAGAACTGGAATTACAGTAAGACAACATGTAGGTGCTGGAAATGGTACTTGGGGTCTCTCCAAAATAGCAGTAAGTGCTCTTAACCACTAAGCCATCACTTCAGCCACAAGATTATTTTTATACAACTAACTATTTCATACAATATGAATCAATATGAATGGATCTCTGAAAGGGGTTGTAAAGAAATGAAGCAAATGCTAGAATCTAAATTCAGTGAAGTATTTACAGTTTTCTTCAAATATATCTTACAAATATTTTCATCTATTTGTAACTATTTATTTTGTGCTAATGTAGATGGTATTTGTGTTTCTGATTTCAAAATCCAGTAATTCATTGTTTATTTACATAAAAAATCCAGATAGCTTTTTTATTCTAGTATGCTCTACAGACTTTCTGCAATTGTCTATTGATTTTAGGATCATTTGTTACTCAGTCTGGTGTTCTTCTACATGGACAAGCATATACCTGGAAACAAAGGAAGTTTTGTGTCTCCTGTCTTGGCCTGCATACATCCAATTTCCTTCTCTTGTCATATTGTGTTGGCTTCACTTTCAGAGCTCTGTTCATCAAGAGTGGTGAGAAGACACACAATGCCTTGTTCTTAGTCTTAGAGGGAGACTGTTGAGTTCTCTCTGTTAAGTGTGATTTCATTTTAGTTTTATTGTTCATGTCCTAAATTAAGATGAAATTATCCTCTATTATACTTTTTGATAGTTATTTAAAATCAGATTGACACTCAAATTTGTTCTGTTTTTAATGCATATATTGCTATAGTAACTTCTTAGTCTTGTAAATAAAATAATACAGTAATTGATTTTGGACTTTAAATAAGTACCAGATACCTGGAATAATTAACACTTGGTCATGTTTGTTGAATAATTGTTTCAATATAGTGTCATATTTATTTGCTCACATTCTGTTGAGTTTTACATCTATGTTTAAGAGACTTGGGCTACATTTTTCCTTTCTAGAAAATATTTGGAGTTTTGCATAAGGTTAATACTAATTTCACAGAATGAGTTAGGAAGTATTCATTCTGCTCTTGGTTTTTTGTTGTTGTTGTTGAAGATATTAAAATATAGACATTTTGTACCATTTCTTGCTAAAGGAAGACCATCTAGGCTGGCTGCCTTCTGTTGGGGGTGGTTAATCACCTATTCCACATCTTCAAAAGCTATAATGTGATTCTTACTAGCATTAGCTAGTTCTCTTTGCACAGATTTTGGTAGGTTATATCTTCCTCAGAATTTATTAAAGTTCACCTTTGAAATATGTAGGTATATAGTTATTCTGAATATTCCTTTATTATCCATCGAATGCCAACATGTCAATACAATTGTTCTACTATATAATGAGAGAAGATGTGCTAGTATATAACAGCTTAGATTTTAGGGTAAGAGGCCCTACCATTACAAGTGGTAATGAGGTACCAGCCATTTCACTGAAAGATATCTATGAATCTGTAAATCTCAGGCCCTGCTTGAAGCAGCAAAGCTCTACCCCATGTCCTGACTTTAGTTCTTCTGGGGGACACAGTAGTATGGAAACCTCACATGCTGCATCAGTAGCCACCAGCACAATTGAGAACATCTCCAAGCATCACATATGATGTGGATCCTTTTCCAAACATGGTGCTTCAAGATTAGGATACCCTAGTGCAGCATATCGCCCACTGAGCAATAAAATTAAACTCAGAGGAAATAAGTCCAGCCCAAACTCTCACAAGTGTTAACTGGAAAACCCAACATTTTAACAATGCCTGATGCCCCAGCTTCCTTTCTTTGTGGGCCAATGTTTACAGAAGTTATTCAGATGTTAACACTGGATATTCGAGACAGCAGCAACTTTCTTAGAGGCCTCCTCATCAACTCAAGATTTTAAAATCAGCTTTCTCAAGCGAAACATGCTTTGAAATTTTCAGGGAGCTTTAATTTCATCTAATGAGAGAGGAAATTGCTAGATCTATTATTTAGAATGATCAGAGCTGTGGGAGTACTCCCAGCAAATCTTTTGAAACTGAGAAAAACACAGCTCAGCTCTGACAGGGTTCATCAATTTGTTCCATCACTCCAAAGGTCCTCATTATTTGCTGTGACATTTCCAAACTGTCCAGAGAATCAGACTGTTAGAGTGGCTCCTTTTATCAGCTATCTCCAGAGACATATCAAGCTGAGATTGTGTAATTTTTATTTTAATCCATGTGACACTCACCACAGACTATTTGGAAGATGATATCACTGATGTTGATCCTCTGGTTAGCTGGGTGATTTTTTTGTTTGTTTGTTTCTTGAGACAGGATTTCTCTGTGTAGCTTTGGAGCCTGTCCTGGAACTTGCTCTGTATACTAGGCTAACCTCAAACTCACAGAACTCTGCCTGCCTCTGCCTCCCAAGTGCTGAGATTAAAGATGTGCACCACCACTGCCTGGCCTTGCTGGGTGATTTTTAATATCAATAAAACAGCTAGCTGAACTTTAACCTTTTTAAAGATTAAAAAATATTGTTTACCTGTGTATGTCTTTGCATATACACATGTCACTACAGGTGTCTTTAGAGGCCAGGAGAGGACATCAGATCCTTGGAGCTGGAATTATAGATGCTTGTAGGATGATAATGTGGGTA